AGAAAGAAAGAAAGAAAGAAAGAAAGAAAGAAAGAAAGAGAAAGAAAGAAAAAACAAGAAAGAAAGAGAAAGAAAGAAAAAGAAAGAGAAAGAAAGAAAAAGAAAGAGAAAGAAAGAGAAAGAAAGAAAGAAAGAGAGAAAGAAGGAAAGAAAGAAAAAAAGAAAAAAAAAAAGAAACATGTTAGATACAGAAAGAAAAAAACAACGGAAGAGAAAGAAAGAAAGAGACAGACAGATAGACACACACACACACAGGCAAACAGACAGACAGACAGACAGACAAACAAACAGACGGACAGACAGACAGACAAACAGACTGACTGACTGACTGACTGACTGATTCAGTAGACAAGGCGAAAGACAAACAAACTGACAAACTGACAGACGGACAGACACACAAATAGACATACGAACCAGAACAGACCACCAGACGGATGGACAGACAGACAGACAGACAGACACAACAGACGGAGCAGACAAACCACATAACTGCTTTGTGTTGTCCATGCATATCTTTGACCTAAGCGGATTTCTTCCTGCGGTAGAGATTGGTCAATGCAACATAGATGATGTTCAACCATTCAACATTATTATTGTTCTTTCTTGTTTGAATAAGAGGGGAGGAAGCAGGATTCGAAATCACCTTTTTTTTTCCTCTCCCCACATGTTTATACATTTCTTTTTGCAATTGGACGCCATTGAACTTTCTGTCGATTATACACTCTGAAAATGGTCAAGACCACAACACAGAACAGACAGACAGACGGAGGGCGGGAAAGAGAGAAGCGCGTTCAGACGTGGAAGAGGGAGAAGAGGGGTCGATGCTAATAAACCAAGCATACAAATTACAGGTCACTGGATGAAAGAATGTAGAGTCAGAGAAAGGAAACAGCAAACACAATTAGTGTACACTCACATAGGGATACCGTGATGGTCTGCGTACATGTCCACAACAACAGAACAGACAGACAATGGGACATCCACCAAGCCCGTGGTAAGAAAAGCAACAACAACAACCCCTAATTCAACGACTGCCCTACTTGTACCCAACTTCCCTAGACGTACAACGCACCACGCACCTACAGACCTACACAACCGTCCAAACGGTAAACATCTACGAGCGCATTTTGGTAAAGATCCAAAGTACATGCGTTTACATGGAAACCTACAGTAAGTGGACCGAAGGCTAGGACACACATTAGATAGACCTCCGAGTGCCGACGAGTCTTCATAAGGGCAGAAACGAACAAAACTACAAGGTTGAAGGGCCTGGGACTACGAAAGTAGAGACAACTGCCAACATGTTCCGCCGTTGGAGCCCACCGAAAGGCCGATCATTCGGAAAGAAAGAAAGAAAAAAAAAACTTGAAGAAAGGAAGAAGAAGAAAATGAAAAAAAAAAACAAAAAAAAAAAGTAAGAAAGAAAAAAAGGAGAACAAGAAAAAAACAAAAATATATGGGGTTCACTACTGCGGGCCAAAATCAGCGACAGAGTCGTCCTTCAATACCTTCATGTCCTCCACTAGTGAACCTGATCTCTCTCTCTCTCTCTCTCTCTCTCTCTCTCTCTCTCTCTCTCTCTCTCTCTCTCTCTCTATCTATCTATCTATCTATGTATCTATCTATGTATCTATCTATCTATCTCGCTTTCTCCACCTAATCAACCCACCTAACCCCATGAAGACTTCCACGGAGTCCACGATTCGACAGGACAACCGTTATGCAGCACACACAGTAGAATTCTCAAGCTGCCTTTTTTTTCGCGCGCCCCCCCTTATGTGGCACTGCTTTCCTCTTCTTCGCCCCTGGTCTACTGCCATCCCTTTCCGCCTGTCTGGCCTCCATCCGTTGCTGTCTCTCCTCAGCTCTCGCCTTCTCGTCCAACATACCTTGATATTTATCAACCTAGTGAGGCTTCGACAACCTATCCACCAGTCTCATGTCCTTGACCTGGATCGTCACCCTCTTCGAATGGATGACCACCTCGTTGGTGTTCTCGAAATTGGCGACCAGGTACGCCTCGACAGCCTCCATCAAAGCACGCACCGCCGTCATTTGAAATTTTACGCCTATACCCGGAGCAATGTCCTCCTCCACAACCTCGCGCACAAGCCGCAAGAACGGCCTGAAAGTCAAACAAAGGTCGGTGGATCGTTGCAACTTTCTGATTTCCACCAAAGTTGTCATCCCGGGGCGTCGACGGCGTCTGGGGACCTGAGTTCGTGCACCTGCGGTGTCTCCGGTCGCTGGCACTGCCTTGGACTTCACCTTCTTTCTACCTGCGGGCGTCTGCCCATGTGGCGGTCCCAACGTGCACTTCTTCATCTTCCCCGGTCTCTGTGACATCGCGACATCGCTCGGGCCGCCCATGTCACCTTGTGCTGCAGAGCACCCCCAGACGCGACCAGGACCACATGGGCCCTCCACCTCAACAGACAAACGGGAAATTTCTGAGCGCTTCTCTGTCCTCTTGCCTGGCTGCGCTGAGCCTGCCAAGTCATTCTCCGCCCGATACCGAATGTCTCGCAGGAGTCCATTTGAGTAGGTCAGATGGAAAGGCACACCAAGCGGGTCTCTGAATCTCATGGTGATGTCTCCACCATGCTCATATGTCATGGGACATACGACAGGGACCCAACCAAGAACGGTCGTGCAACCGTGCCTGCGGCGAATGTGAGCCATGTATCTATTCTGATGGTCGCCCTGCTCTTGGCCCGTACGATTCCTTTCAACCATGGACCACATCCCCTGGTCAGCCATGGAGTCATAACCCGCGCACACCATCTGACGCTCTTCCTCCCTTATCTTCTCCCAGTAGCGCTTTGCGTGTTCAACCAAAAGTACGTGGTCCTTTACATTTACATTGAAAATTAAGACACGTGCTAGAACCACGAGGATCTGCCAATGCTCCACAATGCCTGCATGCATCCATCCCAATGGGAGCCAATGCCCTCATTGCAGTCTTGCTGCCATCGTCAACTTGCCATCAACCACTGCAGGATGCAAACATCCTGGGACCCAATTGACACGATAGCCATACTTTTCAGGGGCCATATGCTGCTGCAACTATCGTTCAGGGATGACATGGGCCCCAATGTCTATGGCAGACAAAACGTCACTCCTCATTGTGACATGGTCCCATATCGGCGAGCATAGTCCATCATACGTGGCTTCTTGCCCTCTTGCATGTGTGTATGTGCTGCCATCCTCACCATCGAACACTTTCCCTTCAACCACCTCCAACTCCACAGGGTTCCGAAGCGGCAGGAAAAAGCAGCCAGTAGTATGGGTAGGATATGCCATTGCCTTCTTCTCGTCTTCTGAGACCTCCTTGTCGAGGTTCATGAAGGAGAAGTTGCCATTCACATAATGCGTGCTCCAGACATTTCCCTTGGTATCATGCATCATCATCCTCACACGGCCACATGGAATCGGGATCGCACATGGCACCCAACCCCACCTAGGATCCCTCCTCGCATCGCTCTCGTGGCACGCCGTACTCCCTTTTGCGTCGTTCCCACCAATCACCCATGGCTGTCCGCAATCAAAACTGTCGTACAAAAAATCATTCAGCCTGAACTCGCCCTGCGGCTCCAGAACACGCCACATTTCCAATGCACATCGCCCTTTCTCCAGTGGTGTTGCCCCATCGTTCAACCTTAATACCCTGTCAAACACGATTGACAGAGTTACGTTTCGCCATGTATTCATTTTGGGGGCAGGAAATGAAACCCATGTCCCATCGACTTTGAATGCAAAGCAGGGTGCTCCTCCAACAATACCCGGTTGAACACGACCCCGACACCCAATTGATGTCACATGGATACTCTTCTCCTGCTGATGTCTTCACCACATTTTTATCTTTCACAATACACCCTGTCAGAGATTCCCTGCTTCCCAGGCCTCCCTCCTCTCTCTCTTCCCCAACCTTTTCCGTCTCACAAGTACTCCCTCCTGCATCATTCTCTGTTTCATCACCATCACCCATCATCTCTACAGTCTGTGCATATATTGTCGCAACACCTCTGCACAGTCTACGGTGTTCCCTCCAGCCAAATTCCCTTCCTTGCTGCCATCTGCAAAACCCTTCAGAATGTCCTCTGTCTCCATGGCGCATGTCTCTCCACCGTTGACAGTCGATGCAATCGCGGGTTCCATCTATTGCATGAGACACCACATACATTTATGAGAACACGTAGCTGCGACATGGCCCCCTCACCCGAGAGAGAGAGAAAAGAGAGAGAGAGAGAGAGAGAGAGAGAGAGAGAGAGAGAGAGAGAGACAGAGCAGCGACAGAGGGAGGTTCACTAGTGCAGGCCAGAAGGACAACAAACAACACTGGTGGACACTGATATGGCACGCAGTAGTGAACCACTTGTGTGTCGTGAGGCAAAAAGCAGCAAACATTATGGACATAAATTTACTCCAAGCAGAAAGTAATAATACAAGCAGCAATTAAACACACATCATTGTGTGTGTGTGTGTGCGTGTGTGTGTGTGTGTGTGTGTGAGAGAGAGAGAAAGAGAGAGAGAGAGAGAGAGAGAGAGAGAGAGAGAGAGAGAGAGAGAGGTTCACTACTGCGGGCCAGAACTCCAACAAACATCTCATGCGAGACAGACATTGGCCCGCAGTAGTCAACCTCATGTTGTTGGACAGGGAAAGACGCAGCGACAGAGAGCGGCGGTTCACTACTGTGGGTCAGAACGACAACAAACAGCACCGGTTGACACTAATATGGCACGCAGTAGTGAACCACAAGTAGTTGGAAACGCAAAGATGCAGCACCAGCGAGAGGTTCACTACTGCGGGCCAGAACTGCAACAAACATCTTATGCGAGACAGATATTGACCGTAGTAGTGAACCTCGTGTTGTTGGACAGGCAAAGATGTAGCGACAGAGAGCGGTTCACTACTGCGGGCCAGAACGACAACAAACAGCACCGGTTAACACTGATATGGCACGCAGTAGTAAACGACAAGTAGTTGGAAACGCAAAGAT